AACAACAGCAAGAGTTTGGGGAAAGTGATTATTGCAGGTGAAAATAATAATGGATCCACCTTGTCTGGAGGGCAGTTTGGCAACATCAACAATGGTCTTTAAAGTGTGTATATCCCTGAGTCAGTTCTTGGAATTTAGTTTATGGAAATGCTCAGAAATGTGTGCAAACATGTATATTCAAAGTAAGCATTATTTATAACAACTAGAAGAAAATAATATATAGAGAGAGAGCATGCTCTGGTGGTATAGTGGATAAACCATTTGGCTGCTAATCAGGTCAGTGGTTCAAACCCACCAGCTGCTCTGCAGAAGGAAGACGGAGCAATCTACTTCTGTAAAGATTTAGAGCCTTCGAAACCCAATAGGGGTCGCTCTGAGTCAGACCAACTCAATGGCAGTGAATTTTGTTATATACACATAGATCCCCCAAAGACCTCCCACAATAGTGGTTATTGCTGGGTTGCTGGATAATAGACACACAAATGATTAATTTGCCCCCCTTTTTTATGATCTCTGTAATGACCAGGTGTTTTTTTTTTTTTTTTTTTTTCCCATGCATAAACTAGTTTATTACAAGGTAGTCATGGCAAGGCACACGGATAAGACCTCAAGATGTCTACTTTGTTGTTGTTGTTATGTGTTGGCGAGTCGGCCCCGACTCATAGCCACCCCTCCTTGGGTTGCTGAGGCAGTATCACTACAGAAGTAGATTCCCCAACCTTCCTTCTGAGGAGTGGCAGTGGGTTTGAACCACCAGCATTCTGGTTAGCAGTCAAGTGCCTTAGGCACTATGCTACCAGAGCTCCCAAGATGTCTACTTAGCACTGGAGAAGCAGAATGAACAGTTACAAAATTAATTCAATGATTAGAATCCAGAGCTTTGGACTTCAGGCTTTTATTTTTAGCAAGTGGTCTCCCAAGGAAGACTTAACAACCTCTCAAACTTGGAGATGCATAGAGAGGGTCCGGGGTCAGCTGCAGGAGGCAGTGTCTCAGCAGTCTCAGTCTGCAGAGGGAGCAAGCATCACAGGGACCTTTTGCTACTGTCTTCTCTTGGCAAGTCAGCAGAAACTGAAGGTTTATATAGAATTTTCTCACCTTGACTTCACAAGATAAAGGTTAGATGCTCTCATGTTAAAACGAGATTAATATGCTTTATCGCCAGTTAAGGAGATTGTTGTATGACATATTTATGCCTCAAGGCCAATTTATAGAGATTTGAGTTATTAGTACACTGGGAGGAGGCAGTCCTTCAGACAAGCCCAGTAGCTATGGTTTTCCACGTTCTTCCCCCTCTGCTAGCATCTTCAGGCTTCAGAATAGGCCCCCTGAAGCCTGATAAACAGCAGGGATAAAGTCATGAAATTCCACCCTGGCTCCTTGGTTGGTCAAGTGGGAAAACCTGCACTGCACTCTGTGTAATAAGGCATGTAAACCCTGGAGCATGAAACTGGGTGGGGGAGGTGTTCTGTGTTGCTCCCTTACATGCTTCAGGGTATGGATAGGAGGAGAGTTTCCTTTCTGCCCAGATAGCGTTTTAGAGAGGGGACCATTCATCATAGAATTGTTTTCTTTTGTATGCTGTCTGTTGTTTGAGAGTAATTAATATAGCTTTCATTGTCAACACTTTGTGAATTCTTGTGTGTACGGCTTGATCATAACTGGATGGACATAGCACCCAGGAAGTGGTTGATATCACTAGGTGGCATTCTCATCCTAGCAATCTAATTGCTGCTTGAAACATTGAAGCAATTTATGTGTGCAATGCATATGTTTTATTGCCAGTTAAGGGAACTGTATGACACATGTATGTTTCATGATGAGATATTCTTACACGAAAAGACAGAAAAAGAATAGATGCTGTTTTTTTTTTTTTTAAAAAAACATTGTTTGTTTATAAGCTTTGAAATAACATCGGCAAGTGCTTATTCTTATTCATTGAGAAAACCAGAAACTCTAAATGGAAACTACAGTGATGTAAAGTATATGCTCAGGGAAGAAAATATGGAAGGAAGCCCACGGGCAGTTGCCTCTGGGGGACTGAATATGGTTATTTTTCTTCTTCTTTGTACTTACGTGTTTTCAGTTTTACTACAGAGTATGTGTTACACTTTTATGAAGGAAAAATTATGTTTTAAATAATCACATGTGACCTACTGAGTGTTAAACTGAGTTGTAAGCCTCGCGTGAGGTAACGTGTGCGGATGTACTAGCGGCGCAGGAATGGCAGCTCATTCTACCTCGCATCTCCTACGCTCCTACAGCCTCCTACGCTCAGAACCTGCGTCATCCAGCCTGGTTCAGCTGAACCGAGCAACCAAGGCCAAGGTACGCAGACGCCTTGCCGGCCTCAGGTGGGGCTCTGGCGCCCCCAGGTGCCTTGATAGGAAAGTACATGTGGACGCCCTCGCTTAGAGGCGATGGTCGCTTTTGCTGATGCATGACTCCATGCCTACTGGGCCCTGAGGTGCCCTGGCTTAAGGCTAGGGGAGGGAGGATTCCTTCTTTGAAACTGTTCGTCCAAGGTAGGGACGCCTTCCTAAAGCCCTTACCCTCTTCTCCTCTACCTCAGCCCACAGTCTGTGGGGCCTGGGGGAGATCGGGGACTCCCAGCATGACTTTAGAGGCCTTTCTCCTCTCATTAATTTTTCTTTCACTAATCTTATTTTCCCACAATCTGAAACGCTCTTTTCCTTGCTGACTTTAGACTGGGGCTCAACTCCACTGCTCCATGGGACATAAACATTTGTCATCAACATTTTTTGTTTGGAGGGGAGCATGATGTCATGGGGTGGGGGACAGAGGTCAACAGCCACTACCCTTGGGTCTCTGCCACCTAGTACCTTTATGGCCTTGGGCGAGTTAATTCATCCCCCATTTCCAGGGGCAAAAGGGACAAAGATGGTGTGAGGCTCAAATGAAACAGTGCAGAAATGCTTTGGAAACTGGAAAAGGCCAGGGAAAATTTAGTCACTATAGCTCATTTCCTCGGTGTGGGACTCTCCCTCAGTCGGGGCTTCTCACTCCCTCAGGTTACAAGCCATCTCCCTTTCTGAGCCCCCTACTCTGCCTGATACATCCCTTTGTGAGCAGCAGTCCTGATTCCAACTTGACTGTGAGTTGAGGACACTGATGGTGTTGTCTTGTTCATTTCCCTCTCCACCAAGCTGAGCACAGAGTGCAGCATGAAGGGATATTAACTGCGTGGTTTCAGAATAAGTCTTAATATTTTCCTGCTGCTCTCTCACCAGCTCTCTCCGTCCCAACTGTCCTTGCCTCAAGGCCCTGCGGTGTTGTCACCCTCTGACTGGAGCCACAGTGTATATTTTAACATTCATGGTGGCATGCAGAAGCACTTGATAAATGCTATTCAGATGAAGGGAATTAGGAAGGAAAGGCCCTCCTTCCAGCTCTACCTCTGAGGGGCCTTCAGTGGGAGACAGACACACAGTGGGTGGGTGATGCCTATCTCCAAGCCTCTCCCCCTCGGTGAGTGAGTGCCCCCTACTTGTACCTGGAGTGCCCTGAAGCTTCATCCCTTCTTGTCTCCTCTAGAGCAGGGGTGAGGCTGGGCAGAGATGACCATGACAGGGCAGGTGACCATGTGACACTTGTGTGCTGCCCCTCAGAACACATCATGACACCCACCAACAAAGACAGACACCACAGCAGCCAGGGATAGAAACAACTAGTGTATTGATTTGGGGAAGAAAGGAGGGGTGCAGATGGGAAACAGGGAGGCAAGGAGCTCCTTAGTGTTTGCCAAAAACCACTGCCACACACCGCCCCCCCCCCTTCTCACCTTCCTCCTGCAGCAGATTCTCATCTTTTCTAGTAGGCCTCCCTCCTCCCTACACCTCACTTGACCTTGACCTTCAGTGACTGACCAGCGCCCACCCCAGTGCTAAAGCTGGGAGAAAGTAGATTCAAAGTAACCCTTCTTCCACCTCCCACCTCATTCCCATCTCTTGTCTAAATAAAAATACAGAAAAAGCAAGCACAGCTGGTATCTGGGAGAATCAACTCACCCCGGGGGATAAGGGCAGGGGGCTGGGGGTGGGGCAGGCAGAGGAGCCTTCACCAGGTGTAGTGGAATGAGAGGCTGGGCCCAGGGGCCCTGGGTCAACCCTCCTCCCTGGTCTGGTGGCTGTTCTGGTGATGGGCTTGCCACCTGGGAGGAAGCTTGGGCAGAGAAGACTCCACACCTGCCTCTCAGGCACCATGTCACAGGGTCCCCGGGGTGGGGGCACCAGCCAGGGCAGAAAAGCAAAATTTAGACTCTGTAAAAGCACCCTTTTCCTTTGGCTCCTAGAGGAAGCCCTCTTTGGTTTTAAGGCAGATACGGAATTTCCTATGAGCAGGGAAAAGGAAGGAGATAGAAATGCGAATATAGATGCTTTTTTTTTTTGCTTATGTTTTTCCTTCAGTATAAAACCACTGTAGAAAATAACTTCTCTTAGAAAAAAAAAATTGAAACACAGAAGAAAAAACCAAAGGAGGGTATTTTTCTTTGGCTTCAAGGCCCCACTCATGAGGTGCAGAGTGTGTGGGCATGGGTGTGAGGTGAGGTGAAAGCAGGAACCTCCACCCCACCCGGCCCTGGCAGGTCCCAGGTTACATGACGTTGCAGTTCTGGGCATTCTGAGAAAGAAGAGAGAAGGGGAGAGGTGTGAGCAGCAGTGACAGCTCCAGTTCCCTCCCTCCCTTTTCCAGAAGGCAGGCCCTGTCTCCTCCTATCCCTCAAGCTCCAGCCCTGCCCCTGCCCTCCAGTCTGGGGCTCAGACGGGAGGGGCAGGATGCGGGAGTGGGCTGTCTAGGACCTTGGCTGAGGGGAGGAGGCTCCCACTCCCCCGGGCTGCGGGAGAGAAGGGTCTCCCCCCACACAGGGTCCCCTGTCCTAACCCTCTGCCTATGGGCTCTGGAGACAAAGGGGAAAACTCACCTGGGTTCGAGGACTGGAGTTGCCCAGGAGGTAGGAGCGGGTGACCAGGCTGTCCCCGAAGCTGCCACCCCCACTGCCCCCCACACTGCGGTAGCTGCGAGTGACTGTGACACTGGACGCAGAAGAGCCAGAGGAGATGGATCCGCCCACCTGGGCTCCCGATCCGCTGGCTGACGCCTTGTCGGCAGGCTGCCCGCACGTCCCGCACAGCACGGTGCGTGAGCGCAGGTTGTACTCAGCGGGGTCCCCCGAGCCGCTGCAGTGGGAGCCCTGAGGAGGGAGACAAGGCTCAGGCCTGACGGCGAGTCTGGGACTGACTGCTCAGGCCCAACACCCAGGCTCTGGGCTCCTGCAGGCTCCCAGCCACAAGGCAAGGTGAGGGTTCTACACCCGAGGAACCAGAGAGCAACAGAGGTTGGAGAGGCCAGGGGCTGGGAGGACTTGGGAGGACGGGCAGAGGCATGATGGGGAGAAGGGTGCTCAGCTCAAGAAGACTTGGGGAAAGAAATGGGGATGTAGTTTTGTCCCAGCTGTTCTAAGCTTAAGAGGAAAAGGAGAAAGACAGAACAAGCTTGTAGGATAGCAGGCATGCTGAGGGGCCGGAATGAGAGAGAACTTCTTGCAGGAAAAAGAGGGGAAACGAGAGGACGTGCATGCAACAGAGATGGGCAAGAGACAAGAAAGGAAACGCATCCAACAGAAATGGGGGGAGAGAGGCAGGGCTGGGTGCCCCACATCTGTCCTCCCGTCCCCTTCCAAGGAGACAAATCCAGACTCTTATCCACTGCTCCCATGGGAATACTCCATGGCATCAGAAAGTTCCCACTCCCTTCCTTACCAGAGTAGGGCACCCAGATGCCTGGGTCCCCTGTTCAAGGTACAGGGAGGAGAGAGAAGAAAGGCCAGGGCAGCGAGTGAAGTTCCAAAATATTCTTTAATGAAAAGATTTTGGGCATGGGGAGAGCGGGGAGAGGCTGCCCCCAGGCCTGGCTGGGTGCCCCAGCACAGGTTCGGCCTCAGCGGCGGCTGCCACTCACATGGTGGTGATGGAGCAGGTCATCTCCATCCTCATCCTCATCGTCCTCAACCACAGTCACTGAGCGTACCAGCTTGCGCATGGCCACCTCCTGCCAGAGACACAGGCCAGGCCTGCTGGTCAGGGCTGGGAAGGGGTATGTGGCATTTCTACCCACACTGATCACCTAGGAAGCTTTCTGGTGGTCTACCCTTTGTCCACCCTGGTGTTGGTGCTCACTTTGTCTTCTGTGGTGGTAGAGCTAAGAAACTTATTTCTGCCTCAAAGACAGGGACACCATCCAGGTCTCTCTGGGTATTGGCTCTGCCGTGAACGATCCTCACAGCCTGACTTCCATCCCTCAGGCTGCTGGGGGAGGCATCTTTTGGTGTGTCCACAGGGTAGGAGGTTGGGGCCAGCGAATGTATCAGAGAGCTAGGGGAAAGTGGTCCTGAATGGGTTCCCTTCGGTTGGGGGAAAGTGGCTGATGTGGCCACCAGGGGGAGCCTGGTCCAGCAAAAGGCCCAGCCATAGCATACTCACTTCCCCAGTGGAATTGATGAGTGCTGTGCGCAGGCTGTTCCCGCAGCCCCAGGTGTTCTGTGCCTTCCACACCAAGTCGGTAGGGGGGTTATGGGTGGCCCCAGCTCCAGCAGCCCAGATCTGGGAGAGCAGGATTCAACAAGGGGAGCTCACTCCAGCACGCCCATCTTCAGGCCAGCCCGTGTCCCCACCCAAGGTCATCTCTAGCTCTACAACTCACCGTCACCACCTGCCCAGCCTTCAGAGTGAACTTTGGTGGGAAGCGGTAGGTCATCAACGGGTCGTCTCCATTTTGGCGTTTGATCTGCCAGTTACCCATGGATTGGTCCTGCCAGGAAGGGAGGGAAGAGGAAGGTGGGGAGACTCATCCAGACTCTTGGGTTTGTCTCACTTAGTGCACAGGCAGGCTCTCGTTGGTCTGTAATCAGAGCACCCCAACCCCCCAAAGGATAATAGCTACAATCTGTGGGGTCAGGTACACCTAAAGCTTTACCTTTCATCTTCCCAACAACTCAAAAGAGTCTGGAACTGTTATTTATCCCCATTTTACAGATGAGGAAACTGATGCCCTGAGAGGTTAAATAACTTGCCCACAGTCTTTCAGCCAGTAAGTGGAACAGGCAGGGCTGGAACCAGAGTGCTGAAGGAGACACCCACAAGCACCCTGGTCTACCCTCCGAAGGGAGGGAGAGGGGAGAGTCCTTTCTCCAACTTCCATCCCTTCTCCTGTCTGGGATTCTCCCTAACCCAGCTCTGTTTCCTGAGACCCTAACCTGGGGCGGCCTACCTCATTGGACTTGTTGCGCAGCCGCACAAACTTGCCCTCCTCATCCACCTCCTCCACAGCCACACGCCCGCTGGTGCGTGCATGTTGGGAGAAGCTGCTCCGGCTCTCGCTGGACTCCAGCTTGCGCTTCTTGGTGATGCTGCCCCCACTCTGTGTCTGGGACGAGTGAGAGGAGGCACGGCCACGGCTGCGCTGCGAGGTGGGGCTGGGGGACAGGCGTAGCCTGGGGAGGAGGAGACAAAGTAGAGGGCCCAGTCAAGGCCAGTGGAAGGCCACGGGCCACTCCTAGCACCTCCCTGACCCCTTCCCAGCCTACCTCTCCTCCTCGCCCTCCAGGAGCTTGCGGTAGGCATGGATCTCCATGTCCAGGGCCAGCTTGATGTCCAGCAGCTCCTGGTATTCATCCAGCTGCTGCTGCATCCTTGCCCGCATCTCTGCCATTTCTCGCTCCTTCTCTGCCAGCAGCCGCCGGCTGGTGTCCCGTTCACGGGCCAGTGAATCCTCCAGGTCCCGCAGCTTAGCCTCCTTGGCTGCCAGCTGGGGTGAAGGAGGAAAGGGTCCAGTGAGCTCTTCACACTCCAAGAGTGTGAAGAGGGAGGGGCGTGGGTAACAAGTAGGGGGGACCCAGCTCTACTCCCCAGGATCTCCGGGGTTCCTTCAGAGCCATCATGGCTCCTAATAGGGCCTTGGCTAGTGACCTAGAAGTCCTCTCTATCTAACTGAAGCTGCTCATTCAGAGACTAAAACCTATTTCTTCCTGTCACAAATGGCACAGCCTGCCAGAATAATATAGGTGCTTTTAACACCTCCCATTTCATTAAAACAGTTACTTCTGACTCATGTCAATTTCATGTGTGTCAGAGCATGACTTCAATAGGGTTTTCAATGGCTGATTTTTCCCAAACAAGATTGCCAAGGTACTTCTGGGTAGACTGAGCTGCCAACCTTTTGGTTAGCAGCTGAGCACATTAACCGCTCACACCACCCAGGGACGCCTCACATTTCATAGGACTTTATACTTGGACTCATCTGAGTCTCATGGCAGATCTGTGAGTTAAGCAGGGTAAGAATAGTCTGCACTTTCAAATGGGACAACCAAGGTTCTGAGAAGTGAATGTTATATAGTCAAGATAAGAGGTAGTCATGAAACGGCAGACAGGCCATCTGACTCCAAACCCCTGACCTCTTCTCTCAGTCTGTGGAGCATGTTCTATTCCTCATCTCTACCCTCCCCTCCTCAGCAAGGCCCTCTGGACTTCTACCCTACATCCTGTCGAGCTATTGGCCGGTAGGGGTGAGGGCATCACCTGCTTCTGGAGCTGGCTGAGCTGGGCCGACAGGCTATCAATGCGGATACGGGACTGCTGCAACTCCTCGTGGGCAGCCCCCACCAGGTTGCTGTTCCTCTCCGCCGACTGCCTGGCATTATCCAACTGAAGGGGAGGAAACTGGGTTAGGATGGAGGGACTAGGAGGGATGGAGGGAGGGGTCTGAGGCCATATCATTGCTGCAGCCTTGGTTCCTGGGCCACCCTCAGCTCCCCACCCCCATGGAACATCCCAGTGTGGGCAGGGGTAGGGCTGCTGGGGACGGAGGCAGTGAGGGAACCAGGAGAGCAAGCACCTTGGCAGAATAGGTTTTCTCCAGCTCCTTCTTGTACTGTTCCACCTGGTCCTCGTGCTGGGCCCTCAACTCTTGCAGGGCGTCCGCCAGCCGGCTTTCAAACTCACGCTGCTTCCCATTATCAATCTCTACCAGCCGGGTCTCATGGCGGCGCTTGGTCTCACGCAGCTCCTGGAAGGGTTAGAGCAAGGACGTGGGAACCAGAATCAGTACTAGTTCCTTGGGAGCTGGGCTAGTTCCCAGGGAGATGACTGAGCTCCCTGCCCAGCCCTAACCCCACAGATGACTGACTGTCAGCCCCCCTTTAACCTGGGAGCTGGGTGTTAGCCACCCCCCATTCCCCATGCACTAATACAAGGGACTGAGGCAGGTCAGTTTTGCACACAGCTGATCCCACAGCCCAAGACTGTGCCTATCACACCCAGCCCCGGCCCTCTGGCCAGTAAAGCTTGGTCCCTACCTCGCTGTAGATGTTCTTCTGGAAGTCCAGTTCCTCCTTCAGGGTCTGCAGTCTGTTCTCAGCATCCACCCGCCGCAGCATCTCATCCTGAAGTTGCTTCTTGGCCTCACCTAGGGCTGCCTCGAGCTAAGACGAAGGGGATAAAGGTCAGAGCTGGGAGGAAGCAGAGAGAAGGGCTCTTCCAAGGATAGGGAAAAGGTCTGGGCAGAGTGGGGGCCTTGGATGCCCACTGAAGTCACGATATCCACTCACCCACAATAACCACTCTGAGTGGGTACTATAAGAAAATAAAGATATGCCCCTGCCCACTCCCACAATACCACCTCTCTCTGAGCACATCTTAACAATTATTATTGAGGTGTTCTGTGTAAAGTATACAGGGAACATGAGAGAATGAACCAAAATGTGCCTGGTGCAGGGGGAGCCTGGGAAAGTCTCCAAGAAACTAAGACCCAAAGGATGGGTCAGCCCTTGCCTTGTAGGAGCACATGCAAAAGTACTGAAGTATGAGGGCACACATGTGTTCTGGGACTTCTGGGAAGATCAATACTGCTGAAGCCCAGCACAGGCAGGGATAGTGGCAGAACTGGCAGGCAGGGGCTGGATCATAAAGAGATGCCCTCTTTGGTGACAAATAGAACCTCTGAAGAAATTTGAGCAAGGGAGCACCTCACTGAGATTTTCATTTTAAAAAGCACAGGCTGGTTAGTGCAGCTGGAAGAAGCTAGGGGGAGAGGTAGAGCTGGAGGCAGGAGACTCAGGAGCAGAATGGCCCAGTCTTGGCTTTATAGTCAACCCGTGGCCATCTCTCAGTCTCTCCACGATGCACTGTAGGGGTAGGGCTTAGGCAGGGAAAGCTCAGAATGGAAGGTAGGGAGTTAGTTCTAGTCCTGGCCCGGCTCTGAGCAGATGAGGCTGTGAAACTACGGCTGTGAAACAAGCTGGCTTCTTTGCTTCTGTTCCCTAGCTTATAACATGAGAAATCATAGGAGAGAATAGATAGCAAAGTGTTTTTGAAAGTAACAGCTACCTTAAACCATGCAAGACATTATTAATATGCATCCCACATGTAATTAACCATCAGCTCAAACTATGGCCTCTGTGGATGGTCTACAGCTCATCTCCTTTCTTCTAGAGAGGTCAGGAACTGTTTATAGAAAGGCCAAGCCAGAGTGGCTCAGGCCAGGCACAGTTGATTACCAAGTGAAATGGCAATAGCAATGGCCATGGGTTATTTTGGATTCACTGTGATAGATACTGGGGATAGCCAAAGAATGCGACGTGGTCTAGATGGGCGAAATGTTGATACCATGTGACAGATCAGACCAAGCACCTTCTGAGGGTGAGCTGGGTGGAAGAGTGAGTGTGCATGTGTTTGGGGGTTCAGGTGGGGTCACAAGCAGGCCCTGGAGGGTGGTCTCACCTTGGCCACCTGCCCCCGCAGATCGTGCAGCTCGCCCTCCAACGTGCGCTTCTCACTGAGGGCAGTGCTTAGTGCGGCCTCCTTGGAGTTGAGGAGAGCCTCCAGGTCCTTGAGGCGGGCCTGGGCAGCCAGCAAGTCTCCCTCCTTTTTGGTATTGCTAATGAAGAGAGGGAAGAGTGGGTTTGAGAGGAGTCCCTCTCCGTAGAGACGTCATCTCTACAAGGTGAATCTGTCATGGGGGCTGGCTCTGCTGTTCCCCCAACTACCAGGAGAGGGCGTGCTTGGCTTTAGGTCTGGTTGTATCTGCCAGCCTCTGGGGCCTGGCTCCTACCTCTCCCAAGGCCCCCAAAAACCCCCTTCCTGCTCCTCCACCCTTCCCATGACTCAGGGCTCAGGAACGTGCCTAGGGCTAAGGGCAAAGCTCAATCCCATGATATGAATGTTTTCCCCTCCCATCCCTTCCCAAAGAGACAGGGGCATCTTTGTCTCTGTCTGTCCCTTCCCACACAGGGCCTTAAGGGCTCTTCCTTAAGGCTCCACCCACCTTCTATTCAGCCAAGCCTCCCTCCCCATGTGGACCTAGTCAGGCTCCCAGCCCTCGGCTCCATGTGTCCCTAACACTTCTCAGTTTGAGCCCCAAAAGTGCTGGCACTTCTCTCCCTTTCCTTTTCCACACCTGAGACTGTGGGAAGGAAAATTTGGTTAGAACACAGGAACAGTACTGGCCCTTCCCTTTGTCAGGACCCATCTGGGTTCTCTGATCTGGGCAGAGCAGAGGGGCTCCAGCCTCTCTCCCTCTGGGCCTCATCAGAGCTCTGAGAGCATACTGAGCCCTACCCTTTGACCACAAGCCTCAATATCTGGCTCCAGATGTGGCTCTCAGGCCTCCAGGTCCATCTGGGCTCCAGCCTTGAGCCTCCTCCCCCTCAAACTGGGTACAGCTTTAGCTAGAACCAGTAGAGGTTGCTTCTGCCACCTCCCTTTTGGGCCCCTGAATATTTTTGCTGGATGCTGAACTGGAGAAATATTTTCTTAAAAGGAGGTCCCTGGGTGGTACAAACAATTAACACAATTGGCTGCTAACCAAAGGTTGGAGGTTCAAGTCCACCCAGAGGTGACTGGAAAGAAAAGCCTGGCAATCTACTTCTGAAAAAAACAGCCATTAAGAAGGCTGGGGAGCACACTTCTACTCTGTCCCACATGAGGTCTCCGTGAGTTAGAGTCAACTCCACAGCAACTGGTTACTGGCACTCTTGAAAACCTCCCAGGAACCCAAGAACTTTCCAGAAATCACAATCCTTTCACAAACAGAGAGTGGAAGAATGCAGTAGATCCAGGGAGAAAAGGGAAAGATCCAAGAAACCCAGTCCCAGATGCCATCTGCAACTCATCAGTCCTTAAGCAGGAGCCTACCACAGCAGATGGAATAAGGGAAAACCAAACGTGGGCAGGAACAGGGGAAAAAAAAAACAACCTATCTTGGAAAACAGAAAAGTGGCCCTGCCAACATTTTTCTCCTGCCCCCAAAGCCCTAGGCTCCAAAAGACCCAACAATTCACGCTGACATGGGACAGAACAAGGCTAGACTTGAGGAAGCTCTGGAGGGAGGGGTGAAACAGAGGCAGTGGCCCCCCCTCAGGCTAAGAAGATTCCACTGGGCTGGGAGGGGGACAGAGCCACACCCGGAGGGGCGGGGCAAAGATGTGAAGACCTGAAGGAGCCCCTTCAGGCGTGCTTGCTCCTTGCAGGCCTCTGGCCACATCTCAGAACAAGTTGTTTAACGCGACAGTGTCTGTCGCCTGCAAAAAGAGGCCCTTCCAGAACTGGAAGATGTCTCCTCTCCTCCGTCTCAGCCAGAAAAGCTAAAAATAAAGTCAAAACCCGGCTCAAGTTTTGGCTGCCATCCGGCCCAGTCCCTGGCTGGGAGCACAGCCCCAACTTTCCATGACTTCAGAACTTTTCCGAAGCTGAGGCAGCTGCAGGGGGAGGAGAGAAAATGAAGAAAACCACCGGTAAAGCGAAGCGACGCGCAGACATAGATTCCGAGCTCCTTGGGCCAACTCCAAGGCTGGTAGGGACTTCCCAGAAGAGGCCTCTCCGCCCTGAAGGCAAACGGCTGCAGCTGGCCACACAGTGAAGTGAGGTAGGTAGGCCCTCGGCACTCAGAATTTAGAGAACTGAAGTTTAGATGAGGAAACTGAGGCTCAAAGGAGGAAGGTGAATGGCAGTAAGGCAGCAGCAGGGACAGGATTACAGTCCCTTCTGGCTGCTGATCTAGGACTCCTCCTCACCACCTTCCTGAGCCACAAGGTCCTGAGAGAATGGAGACGCTGACAGGAGGAAGAAGGCAGACGCTGTGGCATCCAGCCTAAGCTGGGAGAAGCAGGAAGGAGCAAAGGAATGGTTTCAAGACATCTCAAGGGCATCTCTTTACTAGTCCTGCCTCCTTAGACACCCAGAAGAGGAATTCCCGGAGTTCTCCTTGGTAGTAACGCCCTCTCCGTGAAAGCGCCAGGCGGACAGGAGAGGCGCCCACACAAGAGGCTGAGAAAACAGGCTCGTGGTCTCTGCCCTCCATGAGCTTAGTCAGTTGCCGTGGGGTCAATTCCGACTCCCTGCGAGTTAGAACAGAACTGTGCTCCACAGGATTTTCAATGGTTGATTTTTCAGAAGTAGATTGCCAGGCCCTTCTTTGAGGCATCTCTGGACTCGAACCTCCAGCCTTCCCATTATAGTCAAATGTCTTAACCCTTTGCACCACCCAGGGACTCCTACCCTGACAAGTACAGGCCTCTTTTTTTTTTTTTTTTTTTTAAAGTCTAACTTCTTCACTTTTTACTGCCTACAGAGGTGATGGTCATGGTGGTAATGATGATATAAGCAGCAAACGTTTGCTTAGAACGTATTACATGTCCTGTGTACTATACTGTTCTAAACATCACAATGATAACTTACTCAGTCTTCACAGCTGCCCTGTGAGATACAACTATTACTATGGAGACAGGGAAACTGAGGCACAGATGGTCCCATAGCTAATAAATAGCAGAACTGGAAATCAATACTGTATTGCTTTAGCACATGTCACAGTACATGGCCTCCTAAGAAATTAAGGGAGTCCTGTAAATGGTTAAAGCACTTGGCTGCTAACTGAAAGGCTAGAGGTTTGAGTCCACCCCAGAGATACCTCAGAAGAAAGGCCTGGCAATCATTCCCCAAAAATCAGCCATTGAAAACCCTATGGAACACAGTTCTGTGCTGACACCCACAGTGTTGCCATGAGTTGGAGTCAGCTTGATGGCAACTGGATTACTGGTTTAAGAAATTAAAGGAGCTGTTTTCCTTTCCTTCTTTGAGGCTTTGGCTAGCACTTAGAGATGCGCCTGAAGGACTAAGACACACCCTGGAGATGAGGGAAACCATGAACAGAAGGAAGCAGAGCAAGGGCTGTTGAGGTTTTCTTAGTCAGGCGCTGGGGAGCTCCCATCTTTGGGGAAGAAGCCACTATCACCATGGGCTCATGACTCAGACCTCAGGAGCTCTGTGGCCAGTGAGACACATGCATTCTTTAAAAGATGGCTATAGTAGCAGAGCCCAGCGCCTCTCCTACCTCCTCCCCTGTCTTGCCTACCCACCAGCTCTAAACACTTCCTTCCTGGTCAGGGTCCTCAGACCTAGCAGAGACCCATAGTGGACACTGGCCAGCTGCAGGGTGATGGTGTTGTTCGTGCCAGTGGTAAAACTGGGCCTGTGCTAACTGCTGTCCCCTCAATGAGTTGGCAGGGAGCACAGGGTGGGGCAGACAAAGGGAGCAGGGAAGGGTGGGAACCAGGGGCTTCTGAAGTGACTCATCCTCAGGCAGACAATACCCAGGCAGGGGTCGGGAAATCCTTTAGTACCCACAGGGGAGACCCTGGCTTTGCCCATGTCCTGCCCCAGGCCCAGAACCATGCCAGTGGGAGTGGCCAGCTCTTTCCCGCGCATCTGCCAGGTTCTCCAAGCACAGGAGTGGCTCCATCCCAGCAGCCCTGTGAGGGAAGAAGGGCTGGGCATCCTGTTTCTAACTCTTCCCACAGCTGGCAAATCCCAGCGCAGGGAGAAGAGATTGGGGTGGGGGAGGGGAGCGCAGCAGAGAGGGAAAGGATAAGGGAGAAATGAGAGCTGGGGGCTGGCAGGTGTGGCCCAAGGCCAGGGGTCTGTGAGGCTGAGGCTAGTAGAATAGCCCAGCTCCTGTAGGCCGGGCCTCTCAGGGCTGCTCCAGAGGAAAGAAAGGCGCCCAGCTCAGCAAAGGGGCTGGATGGGCACCAGGCCAAGTGCTGACCCACCCGCTGAGTCACCCTCCTCAGCACAGCTCTGATGCCAGATATGGAAGCCAGGGCCGGCCACAAGGCTGTTTGGGCCTGGTTGCTGGGAGCAACATGCTAGGCCCAGAGGGAGAGGCCCCCATTTCCTCCCTTGGACTGAGAGAGAAAGAGAGACAAGGGTGGCAGAGATATTAGGCTGGGGCTAAAAATAAGGAGTAGGAGGGGCAAATGGATACAGGGCAGTGGAAGAGCCGGCCCAGCTCTGCAGGGGCTCCCTCAGACCCACCCCAGCCCCCTGGCAGCCCTGCCTCACCGGCCCTCCATGTTCCCCATGCTGGGTGGCAACCCCAGGAAGGGGGTGGTGCAGGAAAGCAAAGGTCTTTGAGCCCCTAGGCTTTTCCTGCCTCATGGGACAGGGCGCCCCCTGTGGCTGGGCTGGGCAGAGCTAGGTGGGTAGCAAGGAGTCCTGCCCTTGGGAAGATTGTTCTCCCTAATCTTCCCGTACTCTAGACCTCTGCTTAGGTGAACTTCTGTTGGTGATGCGGTGTCTCCTGTTGCCACCCAAGCCTGCCTGCACATTCAGTAGTAACCTCTCCTTTTGTTTCAGCAACTCCTCCCACTGCAATATACCCTCTCTCCCTCCAACTATGCAAATCCAAGCCCACCCCTACCTCAGCTGAGACCTCCCAGGCTGCTCTAGCCCCATCTCCTCTACTCTTCCAACTCCCAACTGCATTTAGCTGGTGCCAAGGCCACTGTCTGTTTTACCTGTTGGTTTTATTATCTCTCCACTTACATTGCAAGCATCTTGGGGCTTTTTCTGTATGTCCCCTAAATGCCCTGAGACTAGGAGGTT